CTATTCCCTCATCCACTGCAATTTCTGTTGCATTTTAAAATGTCAGCGGGGAGTATGCAGTTATGTATGTTGGCAGACAGTGGAACACAGTATATAGGTAGTGTGCACATCTAATAAATAATCATGGCACACAGTATGCAGAAAAATTTAACTGCTCAGCATTCAATGAACGTAGGCTCTATTTCATTACACAGAACCACACCACCCCTCTCCATGGATCGCTAAATCATATGATCATGGACACGTCTAACCATTGCCCTAGATCCAGGCAGTACTCTACATTCAGTATACCATAATAGTATTTATTCTTGTTTAAATTCGTGGTTCATATTGTTTTAGGCCTTACCATTGATCATGTCGTCCTCATGCCCTCTACGGTCTTCTTCATGAATTGCTGTCGCCGGGAATACGTAGTCATCGTTCATGGATGTTCCCTTGCTACTTGTTTCACCGGCGTCCATGGCTGCACGTAGAACACTTCCTCCCTTCTCGCCCGTACTGCTCTCTCGCCAATGAACATCGCCAGATTGTAATTAGTATTTGATTCCCTTCCGTGTTCGAATTCTTGCTCCAGTCATATTTCACGTAGATGGATCGTTCTATAATTAAGCATGTTATCAAATCTCTTCTTTGCCCTCTTTTAATTATTTTGGGCGTTAATTAGATTTGTATATGGACAACATCTTAGCCATTAAATCTCTTGGATTAGATGGCTATGATTTGTCCTCACAGTCCTCTATATATTGTAGTCCTCATGTGAATTCAACCATATATATATATATATATATATATATATATATATATATATATATATATATATATATATATATATATATTTACATCTTTAATGATTGTGTTTTTTAAACTCAATTTTTTAGGTCATGGGAGATTTTTAAAAATGTCATGTTAAATTTTATTGTTGTTACATACAGATATTTAGCAACGGGCTATACAAAAGTGAGGAAAAGAAAAGACTATAGATAGTTAGGAGATATCTTGACTTTAGGTCATGGGAGATTTTTAAAAATGTCATGTTAAATTTTATTGCTGTTACTGATGTTATCACATCTGTGCTTGTTTTTATGGTTATTTTGAATCATCATAGTAATTAAGTTCTTTAATTTTGCTTATTTAATACAGGTTTTCCTTGCTATTATCATTTAATTATGGTTCGTACTTGTTTTGAATGTTTTACGGTGTTTGTTAGTGTTTTTGAACCATTGTAGGTCAATTCTATGAGCAAGGGAAGTTCAAGGATGAGTTTGGAGCAATTTTGGATGAGTTCGGGGCCCAGTGGACTCGACGCGTCTATTTCTGGGATAAAAACAGACGCCTAAAGTGGCGCAGCTGGGCAAAATTCAATACAAGCGAATAGGCGTCTATTTCTGGGATAAAAACAGACGCCTAAAGTGGCGCAGCTGGCCAAAATTCAATACAAGCGCGGGATTTCTTTTCCTAATATCAATTGCACGGATTTCAAGGCTCATATCTCCATATTAAAAGTTAGCAATTCAAGGAATCTTCCAAATTCTAAATATCATTAAAGACGGCAATTTCTTTATTTAAATATAGGAATTAGAATTTGAGTCCAATTTGGTACAAGATTCCTATTTCATCTCAACTTTGTACCCACTATAAAATCCCTCCTTCCTCAACCCTAAGAAGACACCAAGAGATTTTCAGAGTTCTTTGTAGACAAGAAAGAGAGAAATCAAGAGGCTCAAGTTATCTTTGGAAGCAAGGAGGAAGCCACGGAGATTCGGGAGAATCGCTTGGTCAATTCTTGTACTCTTTTGATGGTTTGTGATTCTTTATTTATATTTGCTATGTATAATTTAGCCATGCTTGGCTAAATTCCTTAGGGATTTTTGGGTGAATTTGTTTATGAACCTATGTGCCTAGTTCGTTAGTTTCTTAATATATTTATGTTTGGTTTTATGATTTGTGTTGCAATCCTGTTTTTAACCTGTTGTTGTTGGTAATTAAAGGCCTAAATTACTAGCTTCATAGTCATATTTGTGTCACCAATGGGAGTTGGGGCATAAATTAGGGCACACACGATTGCACCTAATGGTTGGTCCTTGGGAAAGGGGAACTTATTAGGGGAAATTTATTCTAGATTATTGCTCATCGGGAGATGGTAGTAATTAGGAATAATTGAATGCTGATGTTTGATCTTATTGGGTGTTTAAGCCATGGGAGTGGAAATTCACTAGGAATAGAGATTACGGGAGTAATTCGATTCCACTTTGCATTCCCATACAAATCTTAATTCCAAACCAAATATTACAAATGTTAATTGGCACTAGGTGATTAAACATTGTGATCCCAAGAATCCTATTTTGCTCTATTGTCTAAAAAACCTTGTTACTTATTTTATTCTGCTTATTATTTTATGCAATCAATCGACCTTCAAGTTTTGTTCGGATTAGTTTCATATGAGTAACCTAGTAGCTAGTGATTAGTACACCACCTCTCTGTGGTTCGACAACCCGAATACTCCGGGTATTATTTGTTTGCCCCAAATTACAGCAATCAGTTACATACAGATATTTAGCAACGGGCTATACAAAAGTGAGGAAAAGAAAAGACCGTAGATAGTTAGGAGATATCTTGACTACTCCATTGTACTAAAAGGAAATGCTCTACATTTAGGCGACATTCTCTATCCCTTTTACATTTTGTGCCCGGGTTTTCATTATTTGTTGTAAATAAAACTAGGTTCTATGAAAAAATTAGAAGAAAAAAGTGTCATGGCAAAGCAAAAGTCAATTTGCAGAGGTGTCTCCATAATGAGCGACTGAAATCTAATCAACCATTGCAAACACTTCCTCATTGTAGAAACTACTCAAGCATAGGCAACAAAATCGATCCTCGTGGTTTACTGCCACTAATGTCAAGAATATAAGTACAACTATCTTTAGTTTATGTCTAGCTTGATGATTAGACTATGGATTATTATAGTATACTTTATAATTTTGGTTTAGTGCTTAGACACTTAGGCTTGTGAAGCCTTGTTTTGCTAGCTGTTGAGCCTTAACTCTAACTATTTGGGTCTGTGAACCCTTCTATTTTGGATTGGGAGTTATATCTTTTGTAGCTTAATTAGCCGGGTATTCATCCTAGTATGGGTCGCTATGGCGGTAACATTCCCCGTTTAGTGTTTAAGGATTCTAGTTGTTTTAATAAAATCCTTCTGTTTATTCCGCTGTTTAAGCATGTAATATATCTATGCTCTAGTGTTAGAAAATGGGGGCGTTACTAAAACTCAACACACACTACTACAAAATTGGAAATATAAGTAATACTTTCCACTACACCTTCAAGGTGAAGGTGTCTTGAAAAGAAAAAGGGAGAACTTTCCGAGGCACCAATTACAAAGAGGTGCCTCAGAAATATTATTATTATAATAATAATATGCAAATCCGCAGCACCCACTAGGAAAGGGTGCCACGGATATTTATTTATTATAAAAACAATATTGGAATCCGTGGCACCCCACCCCTTGAGGTTGCCGCGGATTCCATCATTATTATTATTATTATTATTATTATTATTATTATTATTATTATTATTATTTAATTTCCTCTCTCATTCATCATTCAACAAATATCAGATCTTTCTCTCCACTTCTTTATTTCTTTCCACTCATTTTTTTTTTTCCTCCGTCAGTTCTCTCTTCTTCTTTTTCTCTCTTCTTTATTCCTTCGCCAATTTTTTTTCTCTCTTCTTTCGCTCTTCTATTTCATGACTCAACGGCCAGAGAGAGACGAGAGTTCAGAGGATGGCTGGTTCCAACGGTGGTCGAGAATTCAGTTCTGGTAACCGAGAGCTCAAATCTAGCGGCAGAGAGATCCGATCTTGGTGCTGCGGTGAAGAGAGACGACGGAGGATAGCTGGTTCAAACGGTGACTGAGAGTTCAGATCCGGTGACCGAGAGCTTAGATCTGGCGGTAGAGAGAAAGGATCTTGGTGCTGCAGTGTAGACAGACGACTGAGGATGGCTAAGTGATAACCGGCGTACGAAGAAGACGGAGGCGACCGACATACGAAGAAGACATATTTGCATTTTATTTTATTTTCACGATAATGATTTTATTTTATTTCGTAATGTTGTATTTCATTTTTATATATATTTCATTTTTTGTAACATTTTTATATGTATTTCTTGCCAAATATTTCATTTTATACGTAATTTCTGGCCAAATATTTCATTTTGTATATATATCATATTTATATGTATTTCTGGCTGTATTTCATGTTTGGAAGACTGTTGGTGTATTGTTTTTCATTTTTTTGTATTGTATTGTTTTGTATCTTTCTTTAATTTCTTGTGTGTTGTTTTTTATTTTATTTTATGTCGTGATGTTGTATTATATATATATATATATATATATATATATATATATATATATACACACACACTCTCATATACGGAAGAAAAATACAATTATATAATGTCTAATGTCTAGCCATTTAGGCGTCCGAAACAAACATCAAAACATACACCTAACAGTGTTCTAAATATGAAATACAGTCAAAAATACTTATAAAAATGAATATATATATATATATATATATATATTGAAAAATGATAGTTTTCCGCGAAACCCACTTATGAGTGGTTGTCGTGGAAATAAATGAATAAAAAAAATTAAAAGACTTTTTGAGACACCTGCAGCGCTGCAGGTGTCTCGAAAAGTCTATATATAAAAAAATATTCCTCCCCTTTCAGCGACACCCTGAATGGGTGTCTCGAAAAGAGAAACACTTTCACAGTCACCAAAATCCAAGTCACAGGTACAGGTGGATGAGATAGTGAATTCAGTATTCAGTTGCAAAACGATCGAGATTACAATACTAAAGCTAAACACTTCTACGTAAAGTATTCCTACATAATAGGATAGCCATAGAATACGAACCTATTTACAACCTTATTATAAGATACAATAATACTATACAGACTAATAATAATACAGTAATATTACTAACACACCCCCTCAAGCACAAGGGTGATGTGTTACCACATTGAGATTGTCACGTAGAGTTGCAAACCTCGGTCCCGGTAATGGCTTGGTGAAGATGTCCGCCAGCTGATCTTTAGTAGACACAAAGTTAAGCACCAGATCCCCAGAAGCCACCTTGTCTCGAACAAAGTGAAAATCAATTTCAACGTGTTTGGTCCTGGCATGAAAAACTGGATTGGCGCAGAGATAAACGGCCCTAAGATTGTCACACCAAAGAGTATAAGCTTCACCGGAATGGAGACCCAGTTCCTGGAGCAACGAAACCACCCAAGTAACTTTTGCGGAGACATCAGCTAGGGCTTTGTACTCGGCTTTAGTTGATGATCGTGCCACAGTGCGCTGCTTCCTGGAGAGCCAAGAGATGAGATTGGAACCCAAGAACACAGCATAACCACTCGTGCTCTTCCTATCTAGGGGACAACCAGCCCAATCAGAGTTAGAAAAGGCATGAATGGCTGAGGAAACGGAGACTGACAGGCGCAGCCTGTGGTCGAGAGTGCCCTTGATGTATCGTAAGACTCGCTTTAGTAGGCCCCAATGATTGGTAGTCGGAGAGTGCATGAACTGGCATAAGCGGTAAACAGAATAAGACAGATCTGGCCTAGTAATGGTTAATTATTGAAGAGTGCCCACTATGCGATGGTACTGAGTAGGGTTATCAAATGGTTGTTCATCAGGAGAGACAACCTTGCGTCACAGCAGCTGGGGTCGATACTGGTTTACAATCAGACATGCTGACGCGAGTTAGAATGTCGTCCATGTAACGTCGTTGTGAGAGCATCAGCCTAGAGTCTATCTTAAGTGTTTCAATGCCGAAAAAGAACCCAGGAGTCCCAAGGTCCCGTATCTTGAATGTGGAAGACAGGCCGTGTAGTAGAGTAGTGATGAGTGTGGAATCATTCCCCATCATGATAATGTCGTCTACATACACCAGTAAGAAAACCCGAGACGATGCAGCAGAGTAGTGAAAGAGCGAGACATCTGTTTTGGACGGAGAAAAACCTGTAAAAAGTAGAAAGTCATGCAGCCTCTTGAACCAAGGCCGTAGAGCTTGTTTGAGGCCATATAATGAGCGTTGCAAATGACACACATTATCAGGATGCGTGGGGTCTTCATAACTTGGCGGTTGTTTCATATAGACTGTTTTTGCTAAGTGCCCATTTAAGAAGGCATTGTGAACATCTAGCTGTCGCAGCGTCCAGTGATTTGACACTGCTAGAGAAAACAATAACTAGATTGTAGTCGGTTTGACAACCGGGCTGAAGGTGTCAAAGAAGTCCTCGCCTGCGACCTGACTGAACCCTTTGGTGACAAGACGAGCCTTATGCTGTTCATTTGAGCCATCGGCAGTGCGTTTGGTGCAAAACACCCACTTGCAGCCCATGCCATTCATGTGAGGCTCAGCGGGAACAAGACGCCAAGTACTGTTATGTAGGAGTGCATTAAACTCTTGATCTATGGCATCCCTGTAACACCCCGAAATTTTCAAACTTTTGAAGCTTATATAATAAAGGTGAAATCTCATTAAATCCCAAAACATAATATAAAGAGTACGGGGTGCTATGTCACACCTGAGCTAGAGAACTCAGGTGCACAGGCTAACTAACTAATATCCTTAATAATGTAAATACATAATCATGGCACGCAGGCCGAAAGGGAAGCTATCTACTTCTACACTTCAAGATTCTAGCGCGCTCCAGTGTCTACTCTTCTGTGCCTGAACGCCAAATATATCTGTTCAGCGAGAGATGCTGGTAACTCACTCCAACACGTTGAAATACAATACATATAGATATATACATAGTTATACAAAAAGTCGTTTCGAAGCATGAAGATATATCCTAAGAGACTCTAGCTTTCAAATCAGGGAACCGACTCGACAAATATGGGTACACACAGTCAACAGTCATAATCAAGCATATACAATTCTCAACATAGGGCACAGTTATAGGTAAGCACAACCAATAATCACAATTAAGCATGTATAGTTTACTAGTAAGAGTCCTATGGTCACGTTTCTATAACAGTCACAACATCAATCCTTCTCATCTCATCACATAGCACACTTTGTTGGCGCCACAAGACCAATCGCATGCCCATACATGAGGGTTAGCGCATATAGCTCTGACACGGCCCTGCAGCACCCTGCCCCGTCTCACAATACGGAGGGGTCAATCGCAACCGACCAATGAACTGCAGCTCTATATAATATTTATATACCTGACCGGTCTTTACCAACCTAGTTAACAGTTGGGATGGTTCTCAACCCATTCAACTGCCCGTATAGTGGACCTTTGTCCTATATAATATTTATATACCTGACCGGTCTCTACCAGCCTGGTTAACAGTTGGGATGGTTCTCAACCCATTCAACTGCCTGTATAGTGGACCTCAGTCCTATATAATATTTATATACCTGAACGGTCTCTACCAGCCTGGTTAACAGTTGGGATGGTTCTCAACCCATTCAACTGCCCGTATAGTGGATCTCAGTCCTATATAATATTTATATACCTGACCGGTCTTTACCAGCCTGGTTAACAGCCGCTATGGTTCTCAGCCCATCCGACTGTCCGTTTAGCCCGATTGATCTCAACCAAATCGGGGTAACATGCACACATAACACATATAAAGCACATGCAACCCACATTAACACATTGGGAAGGGGGAAACATATAACGATACCTATGTGTGGTCATCCACAACTAAGAATACTCCTAAGGGGTTCATACTTCTTATACCTAGGTCAACGAGATACCAATTCAACTAGTATGCAATATACAAGACTCATTCGACCTACGAACGGTACCCGAACATGAAACTAGACATAGGCACGATAGGAGGGGTCCGTTAGGACACCACGGGGGTCGGGGGAACATCAAACGGGGAAGCCGGGATCCCAAAGTGTGGGAATTTCCAGCAGGTAGCCGGTGGGTGGGGGTTCACCCGCTGGCTGCCCGCCGGTGTTACTGTTCCGGGCAGCGGGTGCCCGGCGGGCAGCTGCCCTCCCGCCGGCTGCCCGCTGCCGGAGCTGCCCCTTTTTGGCCGCGGGTAGGTGGCGGGTCCCCTACCCCCACCTATCCCCCACTGACTCTTTTTCACCAAAAACGCCCCGGGAACCTTTGTGGAACCCGAAACCATGCCTAGACACTTTCAAACGCAATTGATAACACACGTAGACAATTAATGGATCAAAATCAAGAAACATACGGCACATAACCTATCATGCTTTTCTAAACATAATCAACACCCAATAATGCGAATTCCCATCCAATATACCAAGGATAATACCATACGAATTCCACGATATAACCTAGGGTTCTAATTATTTTTAAATCAACAAGAACACAATTCATCTTCCAAAATCAAGATTCGGTAGGAATATCATATAAGAGTAAATTACATTTTTGGTCGTGTGACTATTGTGGTCTTGTTAATTTGAGTACTTGACTTTAAAAATTAACAATTTTGTCCCATAACTATGTAATTTTTAACACATTTGGTCCTCTCGGTCAAATCACCGGCCAAATGTTGCCGAAAAAACGTAATTCCTTTAAAATTGTTTATTCATGGGGGTATAATCGTCATTTTTAGTTAAAAAAAAAAAGAGAAAAGGTTATCTGGTCAGGGACTGCAGCTAATTATGAGAAAAATCATCTTCACAGGTGCACTAATAGCATCGCAAGTGACCATTTACAGACCATTTTCTTCGGTTGCGTAGTTGTTCTCAACAAGGATGGTTTTCTTCTTGAAGAATCCTGGGACGGGCAGGGAGCTTGGCGGAGGGGAGGAATCGTAGGCCGACGACCCGGCATAAAAGTCGGCGATGTTCAACTTTTTCGGCGTCGTTCCGGATCGGTGTACGAACACCGACTCACTCTCCACTCTTTCTACACTTCCGTTGGGCTCAACCTTCTCCCCGATCTTCTTCAACGGCGCCGTATCACCCAACCATTCACTGCATTTCAAAATCCTCACCTGCCCCACCATGAAATTCCCCTTTGACATTCACCTATCAACAAACACTGGATTGAGCATTATTTGATTTAAACTTTGAAAAAAATTAATAGTGAATATTATAATGGCATAAGCGGGAGGTGGCGGATCCGGCGACGTCGTTATGGTGGATGCTTTAAGCATAATGATAGTGATTTAGTGATAACATCAACAATGGCATAATGATAGTGATAACATCAAAAACGCCGGCCATCGTTGACAGAACCCCCATTTCCCCATTTTTTTTGTTTTTATTTTTGTTTTTTTTTTACACTTAAAATGACGGATTCACCCCCATAAATAAACAATTTTAAAGGAATTGCATTTTTCCGGCAACATTTGGCCGGCGATTTGGTTGGAGGACTAAATGTGTTAAAAATTACATAGTTACGGGACTAAATTGTTAGTTTTAAAAGTCAAGTACTCAAATTAATAAGACCACAATAGTTACAGGATCCAAAATGTAATTTCCTCTATCATATAACTATCAAGAACCTCATATAATCGTTAGGAACATCAAGAACACCATATAATGGTTCCCTAATTATTATTAGGTCAACCTCTCTCCCTAATTATTATTATTTGGTCAATAATCCTCCTTAGAAAGGGTTGATTAATAAACTAAATTGCTCCCTTGCAAATTTGAACCCTAGCCAAACCTGCGCTTAACCACTCGCTTTGCCAACCAAGCTAAGCACCCTCTTGGTGTTTTGAACCCAACATTAATCTAGTTATCCTTTCCCGAACGGTGAACCCAGTATGAGTACTCGCCTTCCTCTTTCTTCGATCTTATTTCGTCGAGATGCAGCGGCTACTCCACGGGGACCTCATCTCCTGCTGGCCACCCTCTGTCTCCGTGCTAGCGTGCTTGCCGGGGGAAGGAGGGTTGCCGGATGGGGAGGATCGTTGTCGTGATTCCGCCGCCGAACTTGCTCGAGTTGACTACCGTCAATTGTTGCCGCTGGAGTGCTCCGTTTCTTGGCTGTTACGTTTCCTCTATTGTTGGAGATAAGGGAAGGAAGGGTGGCTTGATGGTTTATTGTTGTTCGGTTGGGGTTTAGAGCGAGGGAGAGGGTGGGTGGTGCGGCGAGGAGGAAGAGGGGGTATGTGTATCTATGTATGCGTATCCGTATGTATATGTTTGGGCAGGGTATTAGTACTATGTATATATATACGTATAGTATGTATCCTAATCCAACTATGCGTATAATAACGTTCTAACCTAACCATGTCTAGTGTATATTATTTTTAGTGGGATTAGGTCTCCTAGGTGGACTTGGGTTAGATGATAAAAATCATTTGGGCTAGATAATACCTATTGGGCATATAGAACATATATATATATATATATATATATATATATATATATATATATATATATATATATATATATATATATATATATATATATATTTGGGCTCAAGATTTGTGCATCTAATCTTATAGTCCATATGCTATTTATCCAAGGTCCATAGTAACATATTTAGGCTCTAGGGTCTTTATTATAGGCAAGGGTACGTGGTCCTCTGTGGACCGTATTGATCAATTAATGAAAATTAACTCCCTATTAACTGTTTTGGCGGAATTAATTATATAATTAATTCTGGGTTTGGAGATCGTAACACGGGGTGTTACACTCTCCCCTATCCCCCCCCCCCCCCCCCGCCCCCCTTACAAGAAGCTTCGTCCCCGAAACTTAGGAATCGTTTTGGGGTAAAGAGCCCGAATTAGTATAGTAGTTTATAAGGAAAGTACCATATGGAAATTATATACACATGCACATATAAATTTACTGGGTTTAAGCCTAACTATTGTGCTAGCCGAACGCACCAAATAACGAGATTACGAATATGCAACACCCAATATGTAAGTTTTACGGGTGACTAATACATGACATAGAAGTCTTTACACATGACACGTTTATAATGGCTTAACATATAGGATCACAAGTTGTATAGAACATATAATTATTCAAAAAGCGGAAATTAGGTTATAAGTAATTAGGA